TGATATTTTGCGAGTTAAAAATGACTGCAGACATACATGTATTTGCCAAATTATAATAAAATAAAGACGACATTATATGATCACCCGGCGCCCCTCCCGATTAATTTTTAAATCTTCCCAGAATAATTCTTCAAATTAAATATATTTTGCATTACTTTTCATCAAGTTTCTTATAATTGCTTAGAATGACAATACATTGAGATAACAATGGCAGTGCAATAAATTCACAGCAGTAGGCTTCGTAGTAATCAATATGAGGTCGTATAATTCGGTTGTAAAAATTAGTGATATATCAACTTCATAAATGACCATCGATGTTTTATTGCTGAATTGCTGAATGCAGAACATTGTAATTAGTTGCTAAAATACTCAATTGCCATCTTCTAATGCTGCGGTGGTCATTAAAAGATACAGTTATAATATGTGTCAAACTTTAGTTAAAAATAGATCAAACTACAGGATGTTGCTAAAAATTATACCTGACTCTACTTTCACTTCGTTGTATTTTTAGAGAAATTAATTTCATCTCTTTATATTCTATTTAAAAAATACTGACATAAAATATGTTACATAAGACCTATATACATATGTTTTACTTCACTTACTGCTAAAAAATATACTTCACTCTACTTTGTTGTATTTTTTAGAGAAGTTAATTTTATCTCTTCATATTCTATTTAAAAACAAATTACTGACGTAAAATATGTTACATAAGATCTATGCATGTTTTACTTCACTTACTGGTTGATGTATCAATACCAAATCAAAAATAAAATTTTATTCAATGTTTTAATGATGATGTTAACTCTTAATTAATTTCAATGAATTAATTTAATTTTGATTTAATTTCACTTCTGAGCATTTGACTAAAAATCTAAAACATATCATTTCAAAGCTAACCTTTATGAAATAAAAATTATTTTAAGTAATATAGAGAGAGATGGCATTTTGTAGGGAGTTGGATGGTCATTCACGATTTGAAAAAATGTCGATAAAAAATCTCCAGTTTTAAGACCCAAACTCCAGCTGAAAAATTTCAAATCTCCAGTTGTGATTGTTCAGTTCTGTCACATGTATGTGCAGAAAAAGCAAAAAATAGATCATCACAAAAAAAACTGGATATACAGTAATTCTTGAAATCAAGTCTAGGCAGAAAATGTGATACTTTTAATCTGCAGTGCATAACTTTCAATGCAATTGCTTTATGTTGTTCTCAGAGATGTCACTGACAACCATTGAAATTTGAAACATGACATTTTAATATTTTAACAGGTGAAGAAGATAATGAATTCAGTGTACCAAAGCCTGAGGTCTAAATTTGAAGCTGACAATTCTTACCAAGGAGACGAAGTCTTAGCATCTATTTTAGGAGTCATTAAGGTTAGTCTGTTAAGGTTTTCTCAGCCTAGCGGCAATAGTATTATGCAATATTCTACCACGGTTATTGAAAAAATGACCTTGACCAATAAATCACGAACGTTTTATCAGATCAGAAACACGCATCAAATCTGAACAATTCAAATGCATGTTTGGCTGTAGAATGAAATACTTGTTTAGACCGCATTAATGTGTCGTCTTTTGCAGTATAAACACTGTAAATTGCATCAAGTTGCTGATGAATGTCGGTTTTTATAGCTAAGTAGGGGCTATTCCACGGACCTCCCTACACATTAAACGTGATTTTAGCAGTAAAACAGGAACATGATTTTGTTATTGTATATTCATTATTACTGATTAATACATATTACGAACAAATTTGTAATTTAAAAAGGCTATTTGAGTGTCTGCAGTCTATACACAGGTAAGCAAACAAATTTTACCTCTGGTGTTAAATGAAACAGCGTAATCGAGACATGGTGACCTAATTCATTTCTCTGTAGAGGAAATGATTATCCGTAATTTAGCGATTGTAGTATACATGGTAGAATAGAAATAAAGTCCTTGTTGTCGTGAATGATGCATCTAATGGATCTAATGGATCAATGTTGTAGGATTTGAAACATAAAAATTGTGTCTCAGGACAGGATCGTCTGTTGATTTTAGTCCTGCTTTAGTAATTCTTGTTTCTTAAGGCCATTTACAATTTAATATTTCTATAGAATTTTTTTCAAAAAATATTTGTGATATTTTATTCTTGAATTAAAGGAAACTACTTTAAAATTGGTGCAGCAAAGTTCCTCCTCAAAGCAGAGTGATGAAGAAGATGAAGAGGAAGAGGGAGAAGATGATGACGAGGAGGAAGAGGAAGAAGAGGAAGAGGATAGTGATGATAAAGATGAAGTCACTGAGGAAGAGGAAGAGAAAGAAGAAGTTGATAGTAAGAGATTGATCTGAGTCATCAGAAAGTACAAATCATGAGAAATGGAAACATTGTACAACCTTCGTGCTCTGTCAATATGCTTTTCTGTATAAGTTGATATATCTATGGATTGACCTCATGAAAGGGCTTGTTTATTAATATTATCTGAAATTCTGTTTTAAGTTTTAATGATACAATATATACAAAATATATGGTTCAGTTAAATTAAGAATTTCTCAAGAAAATCATTGATTTGCATTAATATCCGTATATCCATTATTTCATAGCATTTTGAAGAAAAAAAATCATTTACTATTTACTTTTCAGAAACCAATATAAATCAAGAAGAACAACCAGTGAAAGAAGCCCCGGTGACTGTAAGCAGTGAAAATGAACCTGTTGAAAAAGTAGATACAAGAACAGAGCCATCTAATGAAGAACTTCCTCCAACAGAAAAACAGGAGGATTCTCCCTCAATAGGAGAGACATCCCCAAAGTCTAGTACACCACCACCCCAGGAGGATACCCAAGAAAACACTCCCAAAGTCACTGATCCAGGCAGTGAAGAAGTGAAAAATCAGATCCCAGCAGAGAGTGATTCTAACGAGGAGGAAGTGAGGGATCAGATCCCAACAGGAAGTGAGTCCAACAAGGAGGAAGTGAAGGATCAGATCCCGAAGGAGGAAACATCCCAAAATAAATTTGATGACTTTGAAGTTCCTGCTATTGTGTCACGAGAGCCTCCACCCATAACTGATGATGAAGAATCAACTGAGAGTGAGAAGGCAGAAGAGAATAATGAGTCAGTATCTTTAGTGTTTCTTGTGGTTTTTGGCTTAACTTATATATTGTTTAAGAGAGTTCATGTTTGAGAAAGTCAAAGGTCATGGTGCAAAGCTGGTAAAGGTCAATAAGATCAAAGGTCAGATTTAAAATCGAGGGTACTTTGTTTCAAAAATGCATTATTTTGATTGCATGATATCATATTGATTCAAAATAGCTACTTATGATACTTTTGTGTAGAAGGTATTCTATTATATTCTACCACTTTTCTGTTTTTTTTCCTTTGTACAGCCCCCTTTTTGGGGAGGATGATCATATAGCAGATACATTAGGTGATACATTCCAAACTACAGAACAAAAGGAGAAAAATGACAAGAAGAAAAAACCTGATGCCAAAGATTTACTGGAAGATGTGAGTAAAAAATAGGAGAAAAGAAAATGAAATTTTAATGTCTTATAGTGTAATTGATATTAAAGAAGTTATCGTTATAAATACTGAAGAATTTAAAAGAATTCATTTTAATAAAATTTATACTTTGTAGACAAATTCTAATACTTATATCTTTCATCTTTTAAAAATGTTATCTCTATTCATAATTTCCATCCCGCAGACAACATAACTGTAAAGTCGTAATTCTGAATACATACATTTATTTGTGTGTGGGTGGGGGAGGATACAAATTTGTATTTATTTTTATGAAATGAATTTTAACAACCGCTCATTAATCTGTTTGTAGGATGTCAAGCAACGTCCACCTCCACTATTTCCAGATGATGATGACGATGATGACTTGGATTGGCTAAGCTAGCAGATGTTTAACAGGATAGAACTAAAAAATTTCAATTAATACTGTGATATTTCATAATGACTCTACCAGTGTCTGTTGATCAGGTACAATGAGTGGAAAGTGAATTTTATTCTATATACATTACAAGGCTGAATGGCAGAGAAAAAAAGATAATGGTGCAATTTACTTCAGTGAAGATGTTTAACTGTTTGGGAACAATGGAATTGTGTACATGTAGTTTATTTCATAAAGTAATATCCTTGCCATTATACCCAAGGCTTGGGATATTTATGAATATTAAAATGAAATAAAAGTATGTATCTTTGCAATATAATTGTTTGGAATCACTCCCCTTTAAGCATTTGAGTATGAATTATCAGTATGGACCTACAAAGAAGAATAAAATCAGGATTTATGATATAAGGCTCATTGTGCCGGCACCTGACGTTATACTGTCTTATTTCTCTTATATAAAAAAGAAACTTGAACCTCATAATGTTTTATTAGGTATGGGTTTATTTTTTTCTAATATAAGAAAAATAAGTAACGCCAGGTGCCTGTGCCACAGTGGTTCATTGAAACTCGGATAAAAGAGATAAAATATAATTCTAACTGGAAGAAATGACTATAGTTCCTTTACAGAACTGTAAATAATAAAAGGTCTTTTCTGTCAAATTATGCATTGCAAGGTATGATGAAAATAATATGATTGAATAGAGGCATTATGAATCTTAAACAATAGAGAGAGGAAGAGTTATGAATAAGCAATTTCTGATAATGATGATTTTTTCATAAATACTGCAGTTGATCAACAAGGGGACATTTATTGTAAATTTGTGAAAAAATAGATGTAACAAAATAAAGTCCATAGAATTGATGGTTATCATTAGCACCCTTTCAGAGACTTCATTTTTATATACACCTGTATATGACTGTGATTATGGCTATATTTCATAGCAGATGGACAATTTTGTTCTTTGAAACTACTAAGGGTTATAAATTTTTAAATTTTTATAATTCTATCTCTGAGTCATTAATACATGTTAATTTAACATATTTGGACTTCAAATGTCTGCCACTAATACTTTTTTCTTTATTCAAAACAAAACTTCTTCTTGCTTTATTTGAAATAAGAAATTGATAACCATCGCTGTGTATATATGAATTATTATATGGCTGAATTTTTTAAAGTGACCCAGATTTTTAATCTTGGAATAATATTGAAAATATTTCTGCTGTGAAATTACAGATGACAGTTTTCCTTAGAAACACATAATTCAATGTCAAATTATATATCAAGCTTAGAACTGCTGGTACTGTCCTTTTCTGACTGAAAAATTCACATCCAGAAGACCCTATGCAGGAAACAGAGGACAGGTCTGTCTTTCCTTAACATTTATGATATTCTCCTATGAGTTGTCTAAACTGCTGGGAAACTTTGCCATGATAAAAGCACATTGTTCCACCTCCTCTTTTGAACTGTGATGTCTACAATATTGTTTAAAATATGAATAAAGTCAAAACTCATTTTGTCAAACTCTCTGGGACCAAGAAAAAAAACTTTTAAGATATCCAGAGATTCAAGATATCAGGAGTAAATAGTAGAATAAATAGTTTTTTTTCATTTGTAACTTTGAATGTTAGTACTCACAGCTCTATTGATATCACCAATACAGGTCCATTCTCTGTTTTCTGTTACCGCCCACTTCGAGTGATCTGTTGTGGACATGAACTTGTAATGATTAGCAAACTTTACCTTTTCCACATTATAAACCTGAAGTAATTGTAATTAGGAAGATAGAATATGATTTATCATTTCTTTGTACAGGTCAATGGGGCACAAAATAGAGCATTCTTGCCTTGTACTGTGTTGAACAATTGGATTTCAGGCTTGGATGCCAAGTCTCCACATACATATTGTCTTTGAGATCCTTGGCAACAAATGCATCATACAAGTCTGTATTAAATTGAAATATTTATTTTAGTATAATAGATAATGATATGAATCAATTGTCAAAGTAAAATATTTTGAGTTAGAAATTCATGTCGGTAATTTTTGAAAATATAATCAAATCTTGTTATTTTGAAATTAGTGGGATAGAGAAAACACATCAAGATATTGGTATATGAGTTAATTAAGATATTGAGTTTAAACTGATAGAAACAAAGAAAAAATTGTTAGGCTTCCTTATTGGCTTCCTACTAACATACATGTTCTTATGGTATTTGAGATATCAGTGTTTGAGATACTGAAATTAAGATATGGGTTGATTTCCTTGTTTCAAAGTTCATATTAACCATAAGTCAAATTGGAGACTTTTGAATGTGGAGATTATGTCTTGAAAATATTTTCTTAACATTAATATGCCTTAAAATATTTTCTAAATCATTTATTTGCCTTGAAAATATTTTCTAAAGCATTTACTAGTAATCCATGTCAATTTATCTGCATATTTTTTTTCCAGACAATGCCCTAGAACAATGAAGTTTTGAATGCTAGAGATTTCCATCTGATAGAAATTGTATCCTCCTCATGCCAGGAGTCCATGAAAAACAAGAATGAGCCACTCTAGAACCAAGTGTCATGGACGGGTATTGAATATTGACAATTGTCCCCTTCCAATTCTGGTAAGCAGTTTGACTATTTAATGATAAATCATCATATCTATCAGACTAATAGATATATCTTTTCTCAAAAGAAATATTTATCAAAAAGAGTGAGAAATTTTATAAGATCTAAGAGGTTTTCTTTTCGTAATCTTTTTTTCACTAAGAGATGTTTCTTTTCCAATGGAACAAATCTCTATTTTAATACAATCATTTAAACAATTAAGTTACTTGTAAAGAAATATTCTGTTTGAGACAAAAGATATCTCCTTTGATTTTAAAAAGAAAAAATCCCCTTTTTCTTGAAACATTTACTTTGAAAAGAGATTTTTGCAAAAGGAGATATCCTTTTTTAATCATCTTGGTTAATATTATCTCTGTAGAAAAAGACAACTTTGAATTTTGTATCAATTTTCAGAAGATATAAAAAATTTATCTTGGAAGGTAGTATCTCTCTGAGCAAGTGAGACATCTTTTTCAGAAACATTTTCTTTTTGTTTGAAAAATAAGCACCTGACATAAAGCAATCTTTATGTCATTAAAAGCATTTTGCATCTAAGAGAATTATGTGATAAAGGTATAATTGGTCCAGGTCCCAGATTTTTTCATTGAAAGAGTAATTGCTGCCCTCAAATTGTATGTAAAGAAAGTTTATTATCAATCGAAGTTCAGAAAATATACAGAAAAGTGGGATGGGCTTTGGAGTTGGAAGTGGGTTTTAGCTTAAAATTTCTGATACATCTTAATGTGGTAAGTTTAAATGTTATAAAATTTAAGGACACCACATTTAAAACATTCAATGCAATCAGGTGAACGTGACTGAATTTCTTTAAGATATATAAGTATAAAGTAATCCTTCATTTCTGTAAATATATTATACCAGCAACATCATCAATTTAACGTTCAAATACAGAAATGAACCTAACAGAGCAGTCTAACAACGTAAACTTACCCATTCCAAACTTGTCTGATTTGGCAAAGAAGCGAAATTCCTGTCCTCCTTTGGATTTTAAATCCACCACAGTGAAAGTTGTAGAAGAAGGGCTGCTATATTTTTGCCCAGTTTTCATTGCCGTATTATCATCATAAATAGTTGGCTTTGTTATATGAAATATTTTTTCTAAAATATAAATTCATCTTAAATTAATCAGAAAGCCACTTGTAAGATGCTTTTAAGCTAAAGTTATGATATTTATGAAAACCCAGAATCATTTGATTTGGTTGAAAAGGCATTTTACTTAACATATTGTTATCATCATAAATAGTAGGCTTTGTTATTTGAAATATTTGTTTTAGAAAATATAAATTAAGTGTGTAATTCTAGAACAAGAGGAAATTTTAAGATTCAGTTTGGTTGAAAAGGCATTTTACTTAACTTCCAAAATTAAACAACTAATTTGTTTTAAAACAATAAACTTGTGTATAATTGTAGAATAAGAGGTAATTAATCAGCATAGCATTACCCATTTCTGCCTTAAGATACTGCTTGTCTAGAGTAACACATAGTATGCTCTGTCCCTCTCTGATCTGTGAATGACCATAACTGTATCCTTGCTTTCGTGGAGCGGGGAACTTTGGTATGCTTAGAATCAACCAAAAGCCTTCGTTCTCATCAAAAGCGTAGGCACCTGAAATATTTGTGTTTTATATCGTTAATAAACTATATAACACTTGCTAGTCATAATTTTCGTAGACCCGGGAAGTTAAAATTAAATCGGGAAACATTCATTAAGCTAAATAATTTAAAAACAAAAGTTCTACTATAAGGACCTTTTTTTCTTTTTTCTTTTTTTGTCCTGTAAAAAATAATATAAAAATGTAAACCTCTATTTTAATCTTTAGATATATCTACTTCGCAGTTCGCAGATGATACTTTAACGCATCGGCTTCATAAAAAGGCTTTGTTAAAATTAATAAGACAATTTTATGCATAATTATCATATGATATAAAATGATACATGATATACTGTAAAAGACCTTTCATGTGGGCGCCACCATTTGTCTCCCAATAAGCTGTTCTGTTACTCTCTGCTGTAAACCATGTAGTGTAGCGATTTGGAGGTTCGTCATTGTACATGGCATACACCGATGACTTCTGGAAATAATTGGCGTTGCAAAATAAATATTAAATGTTAAGAATGGTCAGTCTTTATATCTATATTTCTAAACTATCATACAGAAATAAAGTGTTGATAAAATAAATGGATCTTTCTATATATTTACTGAGTTTTAGAGAGAGAGAGAGAGAGAGAGAGAGAGAGAGAGAGAGAGAGAGAGAGAGAGTACATACCCCATCATAAATTTGTTGAAGTGTTTTGAACAGTGGGTTTTCCTTCTCTTTCTGTATACTGACACCTTTAAATACAAAAACTGGATTTACAGAGTCCAGATAATAAAACTCTTCCCCGGTAGTGTTTGCTGGCGTTCTTTTTGTTGGACGAGGAATTTTGTACATTATATACCTTTTTGAAAGAGTCACTCTGTATATGATATGTTTAGTTTAAAATACATTTATATCTTTAAAAGCAAATTTTAAGCACTTTGGCAAAGTACAATACAAATTTGAAGCAACCTTGCAAAACTAAATAAAAACTTACCAGTCAACTGGTTTTCCTGAAGGTGAAACACAGTTTAAACAGAAAGAAGGTTGTATGAGAATTGTAAATAGAATGACCGTCAGTGATGGCACAGGTGTTACCATTCTGATTTGTGCTGTAGATGCATTCGAACCAAAACTAAACCTGTGTGATCCCGATTGTTTAACCTATTTCCCTAAAATGATAGAATATATGGGAATGGGGAAGTAAATAGTTAATTTTTTATATCCTGTTTGCGAAAATTGATCACCATCATATGACAATATTTGAACTTCTATCTCTTCTCATAAGTACCAGTACTTCATCGTAACCATATTTTTTCAAACTGTAAAATCACATACTTTCTTAGGGTAAAATTTTCGATGTTTGAGGAAAAATTAAAAGTTTGTGGGGATTTGATTTCGTGGTTGAAAAATCTTTAGTAAATGCATATGAAATTTTACAATTTGACAATGTTTGCACTTCCATCTCCTCTCCTTAGTACTAGTACTCCATTGTCATGTACAAATTTTAATTGAAAAATTCAATTTTTGTAGAGGACCGTACGATAGATAAGGTGTACATTTGTACTTGTAAGGAAGTCTTGCTTTGCAATAGAACTTATGACTTTCCTCCATTGAAAAAAATGAGCTTGCAACGCTTATAACCTAATTCATTTCGGTTTATTTTTATAAAACTTTTTTATGTTTTGAGAGATGAAACTCCTCGAAATGACAATATTTGGTTATTTTGTATTGACTTTTTGGATTTTGAGCAGAAAATTTGAATTGAACATATTTTATTGTATTGTACATAATGTATAATGTATGTAATGGGATTGGACACAAGTTCTCAAAACTTATTTCAGAAAAAATTAGCAAAGGTTTACTATTTATTTCCTTTTATTATTCTTCTCTTCAAATTTGCAAATGACATTTATACATGTAACGCACTGAAAGTTTAAACAATTTTCGAGCAATGATTTGTAAAATTCTTCTACGGTTGGAATAAAGGCTATTGCAATTTTAAATAATTGTCATATCAAAAGGCAAAATTAACTTTACACCTATAAAAAAAATGAAACACCTATAAGACAAAGACGGATGGTATCTAAGAAATACCTTGAGTTAGTCCTTTATTTTTATCAAAATATGATACAATTAAGCTACAATAGTATTCAGGATCATAAAAATCATAATTGTATACAAAATTTATATACTATGTACAAGTAAAAGGTTGACAATATTAGCATGCAGTGCGCCACATCCATCTATAAAAGTTCCATTATCCAACTGAAGGTTGAATATTATTTCAGAATGCGCTAAATTAATAAATTAAGAGTAAAATATTGGCAGTATATTGACATAATTATCGAAAAAAAGACTATGTGCACTCTTAAAGCAAATAAATATGTTTCCTGTTACATGACCCAGCAATCGTGATGTTTTTTTTAAGGACATGCCTTTTCTAGGGTCCAGTGAAGATTAAATATTATTCAGAATATGCTTAATAAATAATAAATGAGTAAAATGCCGGCAGTATATTGACATGAATATCGGAGGGAAAGACTCTGCACTCTTAAAACAAATAATTCTGTTTCCTGTTATATGATTCAGCAATCATGATGTTTGTTTTTGGTCCAGATATAATTAAGTCCTGTGATTAAAACAATGGGAAAGGGAAGTTTTATTTTTTATCAAACAAAGAGCAAAAGAAGGAAAGAAGGATCCCACATATTACTTAAGTTTCTTTTCGTTTAACCCAACACAGAAGTTTGATAATAAAAAAGAAACATTTGCCAACTGAACCACCATTATAAGTAAGAACGTCCATGGATTTGTCAGACAGTAACATCGTATGTGAATGAATGTCGAATCGAGAAAATATCAACTGGTATTAGATATACATGTATAAATGATAATATATGTCAAACAATTCTTTATTTGCTTTTAGATGAATGTTGATATAATAAAATTTCTTTTAAAAAATTACAAGTCAAATTTCCTCATTTTAAAGGAAGTCTTTTACTTACTTATATACATGCTTATTTCTATCTCCCTTTTGTTATTACCTTTTTATACTAATTTAAATACCATACCTGCTGCTGTTTTCGGTTTTGGTCAATTATTTAAATGCAAATGCAGATTTTGTTCATTTACATGCTAAAATATTATTGCGTTATAAATTAATATTCATCAACCTATTCCCGAGAACTAGAGAATTCTGCCTGATAAGGCGACAGATGCTACTACATGTACATGTACAAGATTTTTTAAAACATGCAATTTGGTAACCACAAACAAATACTGCATATTATACAAATACGAGTATTGAAAAAATGTAACTTAAGTTATTAAAAAACATTAAGTAATAAGTAAATTATCATTTAGAGTATATTAGACATGAACTACATGCTAAAGTTACTAGTTATTAAAGAAATTAAGATATAAACAACTGTGAATTCTTTGATGTTCTTTTGGTACCAATGTTCGTGGATTTCGTGGGTCACTCTTATGAACGAATTATCATACCAACGAAAAACCCTGTTTTTTTAACATATTTGTTCATCGATTCTTTGTTTACCAACGAAATTCCAACTCCAAGAATAAAAAAAAAAAAATTGCTTACCCACGAGCATTGGCCCCTACGAATTAATGATTCCACAGTATCTTACATTTGAGACTCTAACTCGTTTTCAGAAATGATTTTCTACACGAAAATATTATTCAAATAAATTTCACACTTCGCCTAATAGAAGTTTTACATGTAACACTAGACAACTCTAAATTACAAAATACAAAATGTATGAAATTTAATTATGTTTCTGTAAGAGTTAAAAATAATCAAAATAGAAATAAGGTTAGTACGTCATATTACTTTCCTGAGAGATACACGCCATTGTATCTATGGAACGAAAATGTATATCCTACAAGGCAGCGAAAATTTGTAGAGTTGATGTTAAGTAACTGAAATTTTCTGCATTTGGATGTGTGTCACTTGTTATTTATAAAATGAAAACCGCTAAATTGGTCTGCAAGAAATAATCCAGATTCAATTGTCAATTAGTTGGTTCGATCTATTTTTTTCTTTCAACTTCTTATATATGTGAAAATTTTCTTTTCTTTTACAAATTAAGATAAAATGCATACATACTTGTCACATTGCAGAAAAATATATTATCATTATTTTTAATACTAAAGAATTATCTTTGAAAGTAGCAGTTGAAAATATGGATCGAAAACATTCTTAATCTTGTCCATTTTCTGTAAATAAATACAAATTCGTCTTTTTCTCCTTGCTACTCTTTATTTTAAAAAACCCACACATATTCAATTCTTGCCTAATAAAAAAAAATCATTGGTATGAAGCATTGATGTTAAAAAAAACAGACAAGAGATTCAAATTATTTTCAAAAATAAAATATTATGAAGCAAAATTACTGAATTTGCCATGATTTCCGCTTTTCTGCTCTTTTCTACTCTTCCATATTTGACTTGTAAGCCTAGGAAGAAGTGAGGTTGTTTATGATACTGGTTGATTTCAAATGTGATATTACAGAAAATTTTGGATATCTTCATATCCGATTACAAAATTTTTTAGATATCTTCATATCTGATTACAGAAAATTGTATCTTCATACACATTTTTCTGACTCTTTTAAGAGTTTTATAAACTGGCTTGCTACTTCCTTATGGTACAGACACATTGTTCCACCACCTCTTTCAAACTGGGTTTTCTACAATTGTTTATGATAAACTTTAGACATAGTTTAAAATACTTCAGTACTGAATTCTTGTAAAAATTTGCATATTCAAAATTTGAAAATTTGATTTTCAATGCCTCAATAGAAAGTTACTCAAAATATGGTCCTTCTGATGAGACCAACAGCTTTAGATTCTTCCACTTACTCGTCTGTTGATATCACCAATACAAGTCCATGGTTTCTTCTCTGCTACTGCCCACTTTGCATGATCCATTGTTGAAGGAAACCAGTACGATCCATTATCAAATTGCACCTTCTTTACATTATAAACCTGAAAAAGAAATCTGGGTAATAAAAATCTTGAACATATGCAAATCTGTCAAAAATACTAGTAAATGATCTTGCCTTGTAATGCGTAGAACAGTTTAATGAAAGGCTTCCTTGATGCGTCTCCACATAGAGATTGTCTTTCAGTTTCACAGCAACAAGTGAATCATACAGATCTGTAATAAATGCATGCATTTTACATTGCAGTCATCATTTATAAAACATAATCTTTTCAGAGTTATTTAAATGTCAGTTGAATTTTATTTTATCTACCGCTCCTTAATTTAGAAATATTGATTAAAAAATTATTTTTACATGAAGTTATCCTCGATACCAGATAAATAAAATTACTGTGTAATATATTAAGAAAACTTAAATACATGTGTATACAAATGCAACTGCATTGAGCAAGAATGAAATTGAATGCAAAACGCGAATGAAAACACATTGCTGATACTACCAAAATTTACTCAGGTTACTGTTTTCTTGTTGTTGTTCAAATACTTAATGAATATGTTGACCAAAAAAAAAAGGTTCGTGGGGATGTGAATTCGTAGATAAAGGTAACTTAAAATTCACGAAAATTAGTCCCCTATGAACATTGAAGATTCCACCGAAGATTGAAGATTATAATAAGTTTTTGTTCATTTTTTAGCTCAATTCCCATCGCATGTACACAAATTCATAGATGTAATCAGACCTTTTCCAAATTCAGCTGATTTCGCAAATGACTTAAACATTTGGTTCCCCGTTGAATTAAAAGGAACAACTATGGAAGTTTCTGATATGCTTCTGTGGTATGTTTCTTCTTTCTTCGCCAAAGTGTCGTTGCCATCGTAAAATGTGGGTTTTGTTAGAGCAAATATTTTTCCTGAAGTTGATATAAAATGTTAATTTTTGTTTCAATACGAAAACTTTATTTGTGTTTACTTCATATATATACATAGGGCCTATATACGAAGGGCCTATGTATCCATTTCTATTAGTTTTCTCTGCAGATAACAATTTGAAAATTAGTTTTTGTAAAAGTTTTAATTAATTTCTTGATCATTCTACCGAAATGTTAATTTCTCCAAGCTGTACATCAGGAGCTTAGGATGCTCATTTTTGGGGGGGTATATTTCGTAAATTTCTTCTAAAGTTAAAGTGGCCTAATAAGTATGTAATTTTTCTAGGCTTGTTGAGCAGAGCAAGCGCTCGCGACAATTTCTATTTGAGGTATAAGGAATTTTGGCGAGCGCTCACAAACGTTCGCACTGTTGAACATGCCTCTGGTGCCGTTGTCTTTGCGTTTGACGTCAATGAATGGGTACTGGTACTATTGAAATTGACATGGGAGGCCTCTTGTAATTGAAATTTATTAAACAACATTTTAAAAATTACAATGAAATAAAAATATAAGGAATCACTGTCTCGTGAAGTTAGAAAAGTATGCCGGGGACAAAAAAGATGAAAATATTACTCATTCCTGTGAGAGACTTCTTTTCTAGGGTAACACACAGTACGCTCTGTCCATATTTAAGCTGTGATTCACAGTATCTGTAGCCCTGTTTCCTGGGAGCTGGGAACGCTGGTATACTGGAAATCATCCAAAATCCTTCTTTCTCATCAAAGGCATAAGCACCTAAAGTTTTTATCAACAAGTATATCTTTATGCAGATTTGAAAAGATAGACCATCCTAGATTTTCATCTTAAAATTAAAATTGACAAATCCTTCTGTCCGGGCAGAAAGAATGTTTTATGTACTGCTTGTATTTAAAAAAACATTAAATAAAAAAAAGGTGTTTTAGTTGAAAGTGTTCAAAAAGCTTAAATTGCTTTAAGATTGCAAAGGTTGCGAAGTTTTCATAATATAATTTTAAAAAAATAAGAAAAATATATATACAGTATATATTTGACATTGATCAAAATGAAAGACCTTTCATATGGCCACTCTTCCCATGAGGAATTGTGTTGTTTACTAGCGTTGTTTTGTTACATTTTTTACCGGGTGGGATCTGGTCGTTGTACATGGCGTAAACCTGTGCTCTCTAAAATCATATTTGAAGAAAGAAGATTGGCGTATAAGGCGAGCAGAATGCCTATAGCGCGACTGATATGAAGGGAAAAAATTAATCTCAATTATATCCAAATTTTATGTCATATCTCATCTAATATTAAAGTATACTTTATGTAAAATCTCTACAATTTACAAAAATCTTACAAGGACTGAAAATATTTGCCTGTGAAAAAGCTTACACACACTAAAAAGAACAAAAACGATCATTTTCTCATACTTAAACAAAATTTTTCAATATGGGTGGGTCTTCTCTCCATTTTTTTGAAAGATGATCCTAAAAGTGTGCAATAAAATACACATTTTTTGGCTTTCAAAAACATGGAGAGAAGACCCACTATACCTTAAAAGTACACTTTTATGACACAGCCTTAGCATCTTTCCGAGAAATATTTCAAGTCCATTAAGTCGCGGGTCATATCACAAACATGATTTAAATACCTTAAATCAACATGAGCGGTGTAGTATAGTGGTTAACGCATTAGTCTCAAAGCAGTATGCTATTGATACGTCGGGTTTTTATAGCTAGGGTTCGAATCCCACGAATACCATCTAATAATTTTATGAAAGACATTTTTTACGAGATTTTTTTCATTCTCTGAAAAGTTTTTTTTCCTCATAATTTCAAAAATTTCAATAATTATGTGTAATTTAAATAATCAATTCACATATCTAATATGATTTCTTAATTTCTGACACTATAGGCATTCTGCCCGCCTTGTTCGCCCATCTTCTTTTAAATCAATTTAATCTTCATGAGATCGGATATAAATTAAAATCAAAATACAAAAATAGTTGTCTACTTGAAATAGCTTTATGTTATTTGACTTGAATTAAAACATGCTTTGTAAGATTTTAATGGAAACAATGAATTAAAAAAGAACGGTCTAAGCTTAAATTTTTTTAAATAATGAACGGAAAAATTAGAAAGGGAAAATGTCCAAAACCTCCCCATAATCTAAATCTTGATGAACATATACGTTTTTGACTCGCTAGACATTATCTAACTGAATAAAAAGAGCAATTCAATGATGTAGCGCATAGGGCAATTACTCAATAAATGTAGAGCATTTTATTTCGTCTTTCTTTCCTTGATGGAGTATATAGGAAACGTATTGTCCTCTTAAATGTATTTTCCGTATTCATTGTATAATAAAATAGATTGGAGAGAGAGAGAAAGAGAGAAGTCAATATGATATGCACTTACTCCGTCGTATATTTGTTCCAGAGTTTTGAATAATGGATTTTCTTCTTTCCGCTGTATGTCTACTTTCATAAAGGAAAATGTTGGGTTAAAAGAGTCCATATAATAAAACTCTGTATTTGGTTTTTTCACTGGCATTGGTTTCGTAGCATCAGGAACTTTGTATATTATAAACCTTTAATAAAAGAGAACGTTTATCAGATTAGCAGATATAAGCATCTTTTAAGGCACAGTGTTATTACATAGAGGTTATCAAAATTGAGTTTGGTTTTTTGAGTGACTCTTAAAACGAAGTATTGCTTTTAAGTGATAAGTAACAAAATCTTTGAATTTCATTTTTTTTTTTAAATTTCTATTAATATTTTAGCAAATTTGCTTTATAGATTGTAAAGCAATTTGAGCTCATCTACTACAATTACAGACTCCATTCGTATTTTCTCAATATAGATGAAATTTTATCATATTTGAGATATTCTTTACTTCGATAAACATATTTATTATAAGCTTTCCTATCTGCGATTTTCAGACACAAGATATATCTGAAAGAAAAAATGGTAAAATGATACAATTCATCAGCTTCCATCTGGTTTATATATATACACGTCAAATCAAACCAAAGCTAGTTTTCAACGATCTTTATTGCATGCAAACTATCATATTTTGATATATTTTATTTCAATTAATAGTAATCTTCCAACTTAGGCTATCACCCTCCCTTTTCCTTTGACACAGATTTAGTCAAGTAATATAGCAAGTTATATATATGAAATCGTATGTTACTTACTAATATAGTAAATATAACGGAAATTGTATATTACTTACCAGTCTACAGGTTTTCCAGTGGGCGACAAACAATTTAAACAGAAGCATGTTATGATCACTGACGACAGAGTGACAAAAAAGATTAACACTGATGTCCCCATACTGAATCTTACTGTAAAGTCTCTGAAGACGTATATTAAAACATACTTGTTTCATGATTGTATTACTTCTTTCGTCAGAAAAAATCAGCTTTTTATTACAATTACACGGAATCAATTAACGTTAATTATATGATCACGGATGCGAATTTATTCGAAGAGTTTTTTAAAATTTTTTTTAAGGGAATTCCTCATCAGAAGTACTTCAGTATTGCCATAAGAACTTCAAAAAGATCTAAATAATTAAAAAAATATATATATTAATTTTTTTATATAATGAAAAAGGTAATTATCTTGGGACATATTGTACTAGTTCATTTCATATTTAAGATGTATTGTTTACGGATAATGAGTATAGTAACAGTAATTTTTCCTTGTCAAAGACCATTTGACAAGAAGAAAAAAAATGTGAAAGTATTTATTTTAGATTATCAGATCAATGGGGGAATAAAAAAATACACCGAGTTGGATAAAATTAATATCCAACCTCAAATTATGGGATTTTTTTTTTATCCCATGTTGTATACATGACTATCTATGTTTTACAATGTTTTTCATAGGAATCCACTTTCCCCTATTTCATCATTTTCTCACAAAACCAAATTGTGACAACTGTGGGATATCCATGAGATAAAGGGGTTAATAAAATGGTAAAAACCCCTAGTATTATAATGATAAGCAATTAAAAATGTCATTTTTGATCTCAAGTTGATTGAAATTTGAGGTACAATATTCAATTACAGTATTTATTTCCTTGAAAAAAAAAACAACAGGAAAAACAAATTTCGATGTTTTTTTTACAAAAAATAATCCTTTTACATGTAAATATATAAGACTTATCATTTAATAGTTTCCCATGTATCATTCTTCCTGTCCATTATAAGCTATGCAATACGAGATTATAATTGCATAATTAATTGGCTATCGATAGCTTTTCCAAGTATAAATTGTACAAATATCATACATGAAGATCTTAAACCCTAAAAGTTCAGTCACTTCAATGTACAAGAGGTGAAATATAAGGAATACATTGCTTCTAATAGTCCAGAGAGCAAAGTCAATTATTTCTTATCAAAGTCGAGAGTTCCTTCCAGAGCTCATACCAATCCAAGTGCTTCATTGACAGTTGGTTGAATATTTAGGAAATATGGAATAATTCTATTAGTATTTGTGTCATTGATTTCTTGTACAAGTCTTCACAGATTTCATAAGGGCAGTAAAAGCCCTCCATACGGACTCACTGGATAAACAAATTGTTCCACCACCTCTCTTAAATTGTGTTGTCTATGAAAGATATCAAAGCAATGCATTATAAGACAATTTCAAGTAACAACAAGTTTCTGTTACAACAGCTTATTTGAATTTTTTACCACAGATTTACTATCAGGTTCATTTATTCATCAACTACTTGCAAATAGCAATGATTCAAGTCTTGAATTCTTTCATAATCTTTTTTTTTATATAATAATTGAAATTAATTTATCATGTTTAAATCCAAATAATTTCTTCTAAGACAATATTGGAAAAAAATTCTCAATGAAATACCTTTCTGTTGATGTCACCAACACAAACCCAGAAATCGTCTTTAGAAACAATCCATTTTGAGTGATCGCTGTTTGACTTGAACTCAGTGACATTGGAAAACTTAATTATTTCAATGTTCATAACCTACAAAAGTGACTTTTCAATACATTTACTGTATTAAAAAAAATGAATACTAGTTGATTATTTTAAAGCTTGAGCTTTTCTGTGTCCGAAACGTGAGATTTTCATTTCTAGAATTTGTAAAACTGTACAGTAATATCGGAAGTTGTATATTTATATGAAATGCATGCATTTTGCAAACCTTAAATTCCATATTACAAGCTGAAGTCAGGTTTGGTTCCCATGTATGCACGTAAAGAGATTCTCTCAATTCAGGTGCAACCAGACCGTCATACAAATCTTTAACAAAATTAATATTTGCAAGTTTGTTTTAAATTTAAAAAAATGATTGTCTTTTATTATGAAAAACTGGTCTGTCCTTTCTCACCCTTTCCAAAGATCGAAGACTTTGCAAAGAATCGGAACCTTTGACCTTTCACTGTTGAAATTGGGAAAACTTTATATGGGACCAAAGTAACATGCGAATAATGGCGCCGAGGACCTCGCTTTGGGTCATATATATTAGGATCTGTTATGTTGAATATGTCTTCTGAGAAAATAAAAGTATCATGTGTACACAAATTAAAATTAATGTAATAAAACAGCAGTGTCGCACATGTAAAAGAAATGTAGCAAAGTAACTGTTGGAAATTTACAATGTATCACTCACAACGAAAAAAAATGTTTCCATTACATTTTAACAGAATAAATACATAAAATATATTCCATGACACAAAAAATTTCATCTTTATTAGAGGACCTCTTTGGAAGAAAAAAGTCTAAGGCCTATAGGACGATTTGGAGTAAAATGGAACTCAAAAGAGAAAAAAATTATTCTCCCCAAGTGTGTTTTTGTAAGATTCATGAAGCATATTGTAAGTATTTCAGAACTTCTATTTACCTATAACTGTTAGATATTTTCTGCTGAGGGACACACAAATCATAGCCTGTCCTAATTTTGTTTGTTCTTGTTCATAGCTGTAATTATGTGATAGAGGAGCTGGAAATTTTGGAACACTTGATATCAGCCAGAATCCTTGTTTCTCATCAAATGCATACATGCCTGTATGGATAAAAATACAAGTGTCAATTTGTATGTTTCCAACTAGTAGAAGGAGAAAGCACTAAAAATGCTCAAATTTATAGTATAAGCAAATCGTCTATAATGATAGCGAGTTCTCGTGTTTAATATACCTTTGGTATGTCCATATAAATGATATTTTTTGAAAGATTCCTCGGATATATCAGTTGGCTTCAGTGGTGGTTGATCATTGTACATGGCATACTTAAATTTTTGTGGTCCATTCTGAAAAAAAAGTGATAAATACTGGAACAAACAATTACTGTATGTTTGGGTGAAAGACAAAAAAGTTACTCCAAAGAAACATTTATTAGATCCTTTTAACAATACTTTTTAAAGTAACTGAATGAAAAATTCCACAACTTGCATCTAAAAAAGGACATTATAAAATTCTTTCTAGAAATTATAAAGCCATCATTCATTAATCAAATCTTGAAATTCTTCTTACAAGCTAAACAAACTATGATGTGTTACGGTATTAATTTATCAGCAATATTTACTACTATGTATCTTTGTTAAAATACTACTTGTAGGTACAAAAATATTGAACCAAGGCTTCCATGTTCCGAGGTTTTATTCCGAAGCAACTTCCTTTAAGTACAGAGTCCATTTTGTCTTTAGTGATGATATATACCTGTTTATAAACTTGTTGCAGTGTGTTGTATAACGCGTGTCCCTCCTTTTGAATGTCAGCATCGGACAAGGAAAAAGAAGGGTTTTCAGAGTCCATATAGTAAAATCCAACTCCTTGCTTGATTAGAGGATTCCTATTTGATTTATTCTTGGGCAACTTGTAAACAATGAACCTAGAGGAAGGAAGATTTATTTTCGCTTTGTTTAATCAATCAAACACAAGAATATTTTAAAATCTGTTATCAGGTCAGTATCTGCTAAATGGAATTTGAAAGTCGTATTGCCCATAACTTATTTGCTGAGCATGAGAAAAGAATCATCGGTATAGATGATGCATGCAAATGTAATGATCTAGGTGTGACTGCTATGTACATAATACAATATGAACACTTATCGTTGACTGTACTTGTAGTTACATGTATAGGGAAAAAACTTTAGATTTAAATGATGATATGCTTAAAATTTGGACATTACCAGTCAACAGGTTCTCCTGACTCTTTTAAACATCCCAGACCCCAGCTTAGACTCACAAGAACGGAGCAGGGAATCACAAATCGGATCATCGCCAGAAAACAATACTAGACAGAGTATACCTTTTCTGTTTTGTTCCTATAGGAATTCAAACTCGAAATCATACGCATGTTTCTATAGGAAGGCACTTGATCCATTTCTGTAGTTTATGCTGATACATTTTGATATTTGAATATAATCTGATATGTGGAAAGTTGAGTGACTCAATATTTAGCGGAAGAACATTTTTGAAAAGCTAATTACACGCCCATTTGTTTTTATAAAACATTAGCCGTATTTAGGAAAGGGACAATTCTTACTTTGCCTAGCGTCCCGAGTTTCACCTCTTCGTTTCGGAATGTTGTTGTGAATTTCACAACAACATATGTACATATGTACTTCCTTTTTTGTATTACTGGTATGTTATAATACAATTTACGAACACACATAGATTGGGTATTATTTAAAGAATGCTTCCTTTTTCATACTATGTAATGAGGAAATACGAGAATATACAATTTCATGTATCCCATTCATTATCACGCGCTATCAGTTCAATTATTGTAAATTACTTCCCATTTTAACGTTTATACCAGAATGAAAAACAATCCATAAACAATTAAGGAATAAAGCTTATTTTAACCTATCGTATAGAATAGGTTAAAAAAAAAATAAGCTTCATTCCTTATAATTTAGTTTCATTGTTGACAATACTAAGACAATTTTACCTCATAAAATGGCTTCAAATTAAGCATAATGCCAAATTCACAAAAATGAGATAAACCTAGTTTCACATTTGATAAATTAGGTTTATCGACTGTTAACTATAGTTTACGAACCGAAAACTATAGTTAACGATTCGTTAAGTATAGTTTTCATCTGTAAAATTATATATGTTTTGCTCATTTTTAGCTCACCTCAACGAAGTTGGGGGAGCTTATGTAATACCCTCGGCGTCGGTGTCGGTGTCGGCGTCGGCGTCCCGGGTTAAGGTTAAGTTTTTTGGAGCAGTTTTCTTTTTAAGTACTTCTATGACCTATATTGATTAGACATGCATGGAAGATGGTTCTAGTGTGTTTCATTGTACCAGTCAAAGTTTCAGATGCTGCAATTTTAGCAAAGGAATGACCAGGTTAATGTTTTTGGAGCAGGTTAACATTTTTGGTGCAGTTTTTGGTGTAGGTTTCATTTCCAAGTAACTATAAGCCCTATGTTAACCAAACTTGCATGGATGATACATCTAAGGATGCATACTACCGGGCTTGCTTCGGATGCTGAATCTGACCTACTTTTTCCGGTTGAGTGAACAGGTTAAAGTTTTTTGGTGCAGGTTTCATTTCCAAGTATCTGTAAGTCCTATGTTGACCAAACTTGCATGGATGATACATCTAAGGATGGATACATCAGGCTTGCTTCGGATGCTGAATCTGACCTACATTTTCCGGTTGAGTGAACAGGTTAAAGTTTTTGGTGCAGGTTTCATTTCCAAGTATCTGTAAGTCCTATGTTGACCAAACTTGCATGGATGATACATCTAAGGATGGATACTACCAGGCTTGCTTCGGATGCTGAATCTGACCTACATTTTCCGGTTGAGTGAACTGGTTAAAGTTTTTGGTGCAGGTTTCATTTCCAAGTAACAAGTAACTATAAGCCCTATGTTGACCAAACTTGCATGGATGATACATCTAAGGATCTGCTGAATCTGACCTACATTTTCCAGTTGAGTGAACAAGTAAAAGTTTTTGGTGCAGGTTTCATTTCCAAGTAACTATGAGTTCTTTAATGACCAATCTTGCATGGATGATACATCTTAGGATGCATACTACCAGGCTTGCTTCGGATGCTGAATCTGACCTACATTTTGTGGATGAGTGAAAATGTTAGTTTTTGATGTATGTTTCATTTCCAATTAACTATGAGCCTTATAATGTGCAAACTTGCATGGACGATACATCTTAGGATGCACACTAATGGACTTGCTTCGGATGCTGAATTCGACATATATATTTTTCAGATAATAGACCAGGTTAAAGTTATGGTTGCAGGTCTATTACCAAAAAACTTTAAGGCTTTTATAACATTGTATAAACCAAACTTGCACAAATGTTGCATCAAGAGATGAAAACTCAAATTTGCTTTAGATGCTGAATTACATTTTCATGAAGAAGAACTACTTTAAATTTTTTATGTTGGTCTACTTCAAAGTATCAGATCAAAATTGCTTAGATATTTTCATTTTTGGAATGTACATTTTTTGTTGGTTAATTGTGTGACTTTGCCTTATTTAAAGACAACATTCGTTGAGGTGAGCTCTGTAATCTCTGATTACCTATGTTTGTGAATTTGGCGTGCCATACATATAAGTAACGTCAATCGGAATAATACATTTGGACGTTACTCATTGTGACGTACGTTTTACATCTAGAATTAAATTATTGTCAAATGAAATGGTGCTGACCAAACCATATTAGCTTGATCGGTGGTGGGTGTTGCCCCATCTTTGACTCTTATTAGGTTTGAAATACGTATTCTGTTCACTGCATATTTTTGTACCATGCGTATCTCATTGCACAGTACTGTGACATTAAGATTTTTTGATTGTTTCTTTCTTATACTTAATGTGTTTAATTTTGTTTCGTATTGTTAATTACACCATATGTTGACATATTTTGATTGCTTCTTCATTTATTTATTAATAAATGACCATTCATCTGCATTCTAACCTTGCGTTTTCATTTATGTCAAACAAAGCACCATCGTATCAGATATCTATAAAAGGACATGGTTAGAGTAAATTTCTTAAACTAAGGATGAATAAATAAAATTTATATCTTGCAGATTTTATTTTATTTTTTCTTGTTAGTAAAACACAAATAAAAACAATTCTTTCAGTCATAAATTAAAAAATGAAAAACATCGTTGTTTTATCATTAACCCAAGCTAAAATTAGCACTGATTTCAAATTAGCATTTGTCAACAGAGTTTGTGATGTTATGAAACGCCTTCCAAGCCGTGTAGTTGGCCATACACAACGCTCCTCCCCTTCTCTTGAGGGCGTAAGTCTGCAAATCAGAAAAAAGAATATGAAAATGTCAGTTTCAGAACATAAAATTTAACATTATATATCAAATAACATACAAGAAAAATGAAATAAAAATGAAATAAACAGGAGAGGATTTTAAATTGTCATTTCCTTTCTTAGAACTTAGAACTTCGTATATACGACTTTCCGCTGTTACATCTGGGATTTGTAAACTACAGTTGAACTACGTTATCTCGAACCTCAAAATATCGAATACCACTGAAAATTATACAGAGAGTTGGTTGTCTCCTTAGCTTTTGATTTTGTGTATTAGTCTTATTATCTCCAAGGACATATTGTGTTCCAGATAATGAAGTTTGACTGAATTATCTTAAAGAGAATGAAGAGAGAACTTAATTACCGATCGGTTGAGGTCTCCAATGCACACCCATCTCCCCAATTTCTCGGACACCGCCCACTTGGCGTGGTCTCTTTGGCCGGACAAGTAGATGTTGGTATCCGGGAACTTGATTTTGGATACATTAATCACCTATGCATACATACAAAATAAACTTAAAGATAATTCAGTAACTAATTTCAAGTAATCAGAAAAATATATTGCATTGTATTATATAAACAGATGTTTACAGTGAAAGTTCTTGACATTGAAAAAAGGGAATCTGAGACACAGTTTAAAGTATTGGTATTCAATATCGCTAACCACCAAATTATAGCTAGGGAAATTATTTGGGTTTTTTGTTTGTTCACGATTTGGTTGAAAGTGTATTGCCATTCCTAGTACTGAAGTAACTTATCAATACAAATATATCACCAAAACTACAATAAGTGAGTAAATTAAACACACACGGGACACATGTAATCACAAACTTACAACACACTTAAACACAGACACATAAAGTGTATGCAAGCTGATTGAATTCACCTTATACACTGTGGAGCAGGAAGACGGGATGCCTGTGTGAAAGGATTGGACCAAGACGTCGCTGGATAGACTCGGAGCAACCAAAGAATCGTACAGGTCTAGAAAAAATACAATCACATTTCTATTAAAAACTGTTTATCCATTTGTCAGTATTTATTGATTATGTAACATGTGACAAGGAAATTATAAATATGGTTTTAAAATTTCTAACCTTTCTCATATAGGGAACTTTTGGCTGAACACATTAGTTGCATGCTGTCGTGGGTATACATGCTTAACACAAAAGACTCGTTTGAGGGTTGCATTGGTGGCATTAGCGTTTCAGGTCCTTTTCCATCGTAAATTTGGGGTTGGGTTGTTCCGAATATTTTTCCTGAAAAAAAAAGTCGACAAGCTAAATAATATATCGATGATTTATTTTTTTATTTATTAAAGCCATATATGGCGTATGTACAATGAAAATTAATAGACTAAAGTTATAAGAAGTTATTATTTGTATCATTACTTCATATAAAGATAGAACTTTTCCGTAAATTACAAAATCTAAGTCAATTGCGTTATAAAGCTATCACAATTTAATTTGGATTCTCGGAATTTTCTCCGACTCGGAAGAAAATACAAAAGATTTAAATAACGCATTACAGAGAAGATAAAATCGTCTTATTAGTTGAAACGAGGTGTTCTCCGTGTTCAGAACTGTGTGAAAAGTTTTAATTTAAATGTATTAACTCTATTTCTTTACTTAATTTTGTATTTTTTTAAATTATATTTTTTGATCAGTTACGCCATATATGGCTTTAAAATAAAACAGTAAAAGTAAAAAGAACAATGCTGAGAGTTTAATTACTAAATCCAAGATAAAAAAGAATAACTTACGGAGATTCACGAGCTCTTGAGTATTTAATGTGACACAGACAGCCAGTTGACCGTTCTGCTGTGCCAGTTTGTTAAAGGCGTACCCCTTATTTTTGGGTGGGGGGAACTTAGGAATACTTGAAATCAACCAAAACCCAGTCTGCTTGTCAAATGCATATACCCCTGTAAAGGGTGGTAAAATTCAGTTATGACTATTTCACGACCATTGTCCAATTATTTTATATACATTAAAATATAAGTGTGAAAAGTAAGAAACTTCTTCTAGCGTGCCACATGTTTACCTTTGGTGTGACCAAACTCATTTTCCGGCCCTTTCCAGGTTTTGTTGGAACTTCCAGGCGGTTGGTCGTTATACATGCCGTACTCCACCATAAAGTACTGAGAAAAGAGAAAGAATCTACAAATCTAGAAATAACAGATTTATTATAGAAGAGTGTATAATTTAACATAGAAGCCCTTTTATGTAGAGTACCAACGACGGACAATTTTGCTTTTTAAACACAATTCGTTATCTACGTTAAGCGTTTTAAATTTATTTAATCCACAGTGAATGTGAATCAATTAAACTTCTCTTGAAGCGTCAATTCATTATAAGCGTCTTCAATATAAGCGTGTTTTACTGTATATAGATTAAGACCCATTCTTTCATTTTCCATGAGCTTTAATAGAAAGCACATTTCACGTTTTATCGATGAATTATGCTGTCGCTAACATTTAACTTGCTGTATTAAATACAATCTCTTTTTAGGGATATTAATTGAAGGAGTACTTACATTCAGATAGATCTGTTGGAGCGTGTTGTAAAGGGCATGTCCTTCCTTGTCTATGGGGGTGGGAGAAAGGGTCATCGCAGGTCGGTGGGAGTCCATATAATAAAAAGCCACGCCCTCCGATATCAGCTTGTTTTTGTTTTGGGGATCCTTGGGAGTTTTGTAAACAATAAACCTAAAATGGAAAGGAACCAGCGTTATAATCAAATGATAAAACATACGTCAATTTTCATAGTCTGTAGATTAGAATTTGAAATTAACATAACTGATCTTCTAGGAAACTGAAAGTTTATTGGTCTAAACCAACGTAGATGCAACAGAAATTAGTATAAAAGAAATTCCAGAAAATGTAACGTTTCTTCTTTCTTGTCTTGAGATGAATTACTTTTTTATTAGAGCAAAAATGTATAAGGAGAAACATTTTGATGAAAAATGATAATTCAATTTCTCACCTTTCCTAGAATTACAATGTATTAGCATATCATAAAAAAAATTTATGACAGTAAATATTTTTTTTCATTTTAAGAAAGACACCGAAAATTTATGTAAAAAGCTATATTTACCAGTCCACGGGTTGGCGATCAATACCCTGACATGTTATTCCATTGGTGTACCCCTCTCCACGGGCTGTACCCGAAAACGTCACCCACAAAGTCCACAGAATAAAGTCAAACAAGACGGGCATTTTCATATGGAGACCAGGTTGATGTTCTTCTTTCTTATATTCATATAGTATTTAAAGTTATATTCAACGTTATGAGTTTGAAGTAAAATTGATAAAAATGTTGAATAATTTAACCAATCTTCGCAGAAAAAAAATGCAATGAGGAAATTTTTGGCGATGAGCCGGAAATTTTTTTTTCAAACACAACATTATCAAAACACTTAACAATAATTACTCCACATTTGACATCGACAATCAGGAACTATAGACTCAAAAGCTTAGTCCAAAAAATTAATTCCAAAATTAATAAGTGCACTTAATTATAATTGATTTTGATTTCATAAATTTCTAACTTATTATTTATAACCAATAATTAAAATGGAAATCTGCAAAAGTACATTTAAGAAAATTTAAGCACACAATCAATAGATAAACAATCAATATTTTGAACATTTTACATTCTTTGCCATCCTCATCATGCCAGGGGCCATGAGTCAACATGTGCACGTTGCCGTTGGACCTCTGGCATACTTCATTAGATAGTTTAGGGCCGCTTGTTTCTCTCATTGAGAAGCGTCAATCAAATTAAAGCTTTCGTAAACAGCAAGATGATGCAATCAAAGAGGATTCAGATGACACTTCAAATGCACTTCTTTTTTGGAAAAATGCATTTTCTGCGTTGTAAAAATATACACAATGTATACATGTATATATTTTTAAAAGTACGCGGATTCATTTAAAAATTTTATATTCTAGGTCCTGGTCTTGTTTTTACTGTTTATCCGGAAGGTTTGGCCCAAATGTCGGTAGCGCCGTTATGGTCAATATTGTTTTTCTTCACGATGGTGGCCTTAGGATTCTCTTCAGCGGTAATATTCATTGAAACTATTCTATACTGTAAGGTAAAAGGTCTCGATGAGACTTTCTTTCATCATGAAGCCATAAAATCAGGCAGTAATTCTCTTCATATTAATTCAAACAGAATATTTAGAAAGCGATGAATATTTATACCCAGACATTGGCCATGTGATCGCCTGGTTAATTCAAGCTAAGTGTTTGATTGGAATTCTTGGTTGGTTTATATATGCTGTTAGAGGGGGGCTTGGAAAGGAAAGAAACCCCTCACTAAGCTCAGATAAAAAAAAAACAAAAACATCATTCTATATTTTTGAAATGCTTTCCAAATTTCATCCAAGACTTTTCATTTCAAAAGTCTGATTTTGTTGTATTTTATTTTATTATTATTATTTTTTTTTTTGCAGCCAACGGAAGACTGGGGACCAGCCTTACCTGAGAACAGAACAGGTCGTTATTCTGTGGCTTTCAATGACATCACCGCTGATGTCATGATTACTCTGTTGACATGATGAAAATGCAATCCAAAAAATATGATAATAAAGCTTACGTAATAGAAGCAGGGGACACAACTGCCACAAAGTTCTAACAAATCAACTTAAAAATTAATCTCTGTTCTCTGTCTCCGTGACCCTCTTCAGGATCGATCGAAGGACTGAGAAATTCAGCTTTTAGAATTTACAGAGCACGAAGTATATCACTAGCAATATCCTTCTGAATGAAACAGAAGGCATATATATCTGGAAACAAAATAAAAGCAGGTGTAACATATTCATTTACCATTCATTTACCAAAGGAAATTAGATCTTGACATTATTGTATTTTTAATTAACAATTTTACATATATAATCAAGTTATAGTTTTGTTTTGAACATATTTTATTGTATAAACAAAAATATTGGAAACAAGTTCTTTCAACTTACGAGTTCCTCTCCTTAAATATAACTATATGTCATGCAATTAAAGTTATAGTGTATTATGTTTTATGTAAATAAAATTAAAATACATTTTTGGGAGCATTGATTCCTGTTTATTGAGACGAGCATATAGAAAGTCGCTGGTTTGCTGATGCTAGTCAGTCAACAATAGACTAGAGTAGGTTAGAACATTTCCAACAGAATGGAAATGATATTATACGTTACGAAACTTGTATGTATGATGTAAAATACCTTTAAACAACAAAAAATATACATGTATTTACTTCCCAATAAAGCAAATTACTTACCCGATTCAGTGTTTGGGATTTATGCATACGATGCAGTTCTCTTTTACACTTGTCACTTTTCTTAATTAATTAATACCAGTCTGCGCCGCTCGACAGATTCGCACCTTTGATTTATGCGACGGAAACATCCGAGGATTGCCGAACTATTGTCACAAGGAGCATTGTGACGTCATGCTTTTATGACGAAATAGATCTATATCTATCTTATCAACCAAACAAAAGGGCGGCGTAAAGAGTGAGTATAAAATTTCTTTGTATCTAATGGATCTATACACTACATGTTAGTTTGAGATTCAAGATAAATGGCATTTTTTAAAAAGAAAAATAGCACGTATCATATCCTCCAGTGTTACCACTCATAAACTAGCGTAGCAGAAATTTACAGGTGGTAAATACATGTGTAGCATTCCTTGTGTCCAGAAAAAGAATGAAAACATCTATATTTTATGTGTTAAACCAAAGTTTCTGTAGCAGATTTAAACTAAGAATCATGTCATATGAGATAAAGACCTAATCACATACGTATACAATAAACCACGGTATTTGACGAAAGTAGATCCTTTATTCCTGTAGAACATCTCTGAATAAATAACCCTATTATATAGATTTAAGCCCGTTTCCACCTATTTTCTGAAACTAATTACAGTTCCTGGCACGAACGATAAAAAAAAAATATTTCGAGTTTTAGACTATAAATTTACTTCTTTTCTTGTTTCGTTTATTAGTAAGTTTTTAAAAGCATTTATGCACCCATTCAACTAGCACTTATTTTTCATTTTTGTGATGAATTCACATGCACCAATGCCCATTAAACTAAAACTAAACTAAAACTTTGTGTATATTACAATTAATGTGGCATTTTCCTGGCACTCTATAATTTTTTTTATCCTGTATTATAACACGTGCACGTAAATTTAGCTACTCTTTTCGGGCTAAAATAGTAATCGTAATTTTGAGTCTACAGTTCCAGGAATGGCGCTATTTTTTTAGGTTCTTTGATATCGCATTTAAGTAGTTTTTCGTGAGATTTATTGTTCAACATAAACTTACATGTAAGACACAAAATATTTACTATTGTCCTTTAAACAATTTTACACCAACGTTCTTGACAGATTAAAAAAAGTATACTTTCATGGATAAAAAAAAAATATTTTGTGTATGACGTCATGAAAGCATACACACAAACTTAAACGTAACAATTATGTGACGTAACAATTATCACTATAACAAAAGTGGATGCAGATGGCAGACATATTAGCGGTAAAATTCACGACTAAATTACTCTTTTCTTGTTTGTTTTTCTTGACAGGAGAAAATGTATTTTTTATAAATATGCTTTTTTGATTGTAGACAATCATGGATGTTGCAATGGATTTTGGGAGTGAGCCAGTTAAGGATGTTGTAAGTACCTTTAATATCTTGCATATCAATTATGAAGGGTTTTTAACGACGGAAACTGGCAACTACCTTTTACAGCAAATTCAATGCAAAAAATATAAAGTAAATTATTCGTTCAAAGAAATTGTTCGTACATATATTAAAAGAAAATCTGAACAAAAATAATTTCTTGGTGTTGTTTTTCAGGACACAAAGCTACAGATTCTGAAATTCAGTTATAGTTGGATTGAAGAAGTTGAAAAGGAAGAAAGACTTATGAAGGTACATTTATTCAGAAAATTTAGATATATGTCTTGTGCAACAACACAGTTACACTACAACTCGGACAAGACTTGCATATCGTTCACAATATATTTCTTTACATGTAGTTGTAATTTATTTTACCAGAATTTCATTACGCATTTAAACATATGTAAATTATTTTTTTCAATATGCACATTTTTTAAAGTATTTTTAAGTTTCCCTATAAAGAGAGATTTATTATTTTTAATGAGGTAAAATGTATGTTTAATTTTTATCTAGGAAGTCACCGAACCAGATTTGGTACAAGAAGTTGATCAGAAGAATGAATGCAAAGTTAAAACGTTAAGAACAGAGACAAAGGAAATTCCCAGGTAAGACTAGAACTGTGTGAGGCTTTAAGATTCTTGTATTAAATTAATACAGTTTACAAATGTGATTCTACAAGTTATCTCGTTTCAAATATTGAACATGTAACATTAAATCTGAGTGTACATTTGGCATCATTCAGTCAATTTGAAAGTCAATATGAAAGTTTCATCAAATATATTCATCGTTGTAGAGAGACAGTCTTGGATTTCGGGGATAGACCCGTGAGAGATCTGGTAAGTAAACTATCTGCTTTGTTTCGGTGTATTTTTTAATTCATGTGATTTTTGATGGAGACGGATTTTTTCCCCCCAGGAATTATATAGTTATGATTATAGTGCATGGCCAACTATGCAATTATTGATTATAATGATTTATAATGTATGAAAAAAAAATGGATAAGATTATTGATCAATTTATGCAATATATTTATCGAATAATATACCCAATCGAATTTTACTTTTATACATTGTCAATATTATGCCATCCGTTTTAACGTTGAATCTTAAAATTTTAGGATGAAAAATTAGAAATTCTGAAATTCCCATACTCCTGGGTAGAGGTCGTTGAAGAGGAGGAAAGAAGAGCAAAGGTAAAAATAATATATCAATTCTGCTTACTTTGTATTAAATGAACATAAATTATGTATTTATATAAACTTTGTACAAGAGGGTAACATAAATTTAGTGATTTTAGTTGAATATCTATGAGAACGACTGAATTTAAATTAAAATTCTGAGTGTATATTATGATTTATGGCCAATTTCAATGGAGTCCAAGATTTTATGATCATATATTTATCCAAACAATAACAGTAAAAGACTACAATTTTAAGAAATTGACAATTTTTTTCATTTTATCATACTATTGCGTTTTTCCCATTTTTTTTTTTTTTTTATTTTCAAAAGTGAATATTGAAATTTCATTGAAGCTATAACAAAACAATCTATCTAAAAATGAAGCATCATTTCTTTTTCTTTTTTTAGGAAGATGATGAACTAACTGTAGAACAGACGAACAAGGAGGCCGAATCCAACGTTAAGATTTTCAGAGAGGAAACAAATGAAATCCCCAGGTAACCAATTTTTCCTTGACAGACTGTAAAAGATTTGAAAATATTACAATGTTTCTCTCCATAATTAATGCATAAAATTTGTAAAGCTAGCATGTATCAAATAAAAGGTACATAGTAAAACCACATAGTGCATGAAGTGAAAATTTTGAAATTTTTTATTCCAGAGAGCCAATCTTGAATTTTGGTGAAGAACCTGTTACTAACTTGGTAAGTAAATCTGATGTTATGTTTTGTTGTTATTTTCTTTTAGTTTATATTACACATGTATTTACTTAAATATAATGAAAAAAATGTCAATTTAAAAAAAATTATATTATGTTGCATTAAACAACCGAGAATTTTCTTGATCAAAAGAACTTTACTTAAGTGATGTAGGTTGTTTTGTAGCATAATTTCTATTTTAACTTTGTATGTTATAACTTCTAGGAAGAAAAACTGGAAATACTGAAGTTTCCGTACAAGTGGGCTGATATAGTAGAGGAAGAAGAAATAGGAACAAAGGTATATAAATGGATTGATTTAGTTTACTTCTGCAGGTTAACTTAAACATTGCAAAAGTTTATATCTTGTATCATTTTTTATTTATTAATTTTGGTACATGTGCATAAGAAGGCTAAATTAATTGATTTTTGGAAGAAATGAAGGAATTTTCATCCTAAAAGGATAAACCCTAATGCTCGAGTAATTGCATGCAAATACAAATATATGAATATTTTTTTTTAAAAAAAGAAAAGATCAATACAATCCAAGATTTTTATATAAGTATTTTATTTACAGGAGCCTTCCATGTTTAACAAAGCCATACAACAAGAAGGCAGAGACCACGAGAAAGTTACCCAAGAGGACGAACCAAAAGAAGAAATAGCTCCCAACAATATCAGGTACTAACTTCATATTAAAATCAACTGTTGACATTTCATTGTAATTATGATATTAAATTAAATGAATGTACATGTAATTATGCATTTGTTAAACGAGTCCATTTTTCGCGAAAACGCTATGGAATATTTTTTTTAAGTTTTAAAAATCCCTTCATTGTTGATATTAAAGTAAAATTTTATACTATAAAGCAGCAAACCCCAAGATATACCTCAAGCATTGAAAGCTGAGATTGACACTGACAAGGAAACCAAAGACTTGGAAGCTACATGTAGCAAGGCGGAAACACAGCAGATGAAACTGGAGGTAAGGAATACGCCATGTAGAACAGAAACAATGTAAAAACTTTTTTAAATGAAAAAATGTTCAAAAAGTAATGTTAAATTCAACTTCATAGAAAACAAGTCTAAAACCAGTATTTAAAATACTGATACTTTGAAAGTATCGGATCGTTTATTTACTGAATAAATTTTCATTTTTCGTTGTTTTTCTTTTACAGTTTTTAAATAACGACGAAGATGAAAATGACAACTGCTTTGTCCCAAGAAAATTGTTTCTTTTCGGAGTTGTGGAATTTAAGGTACGTTCATTGAAGTTTATATATTTTAGTACATCTGAAATAATTCAAATTAAATCTCAATTACAAAAGATTTTGAAAATAATTTTTGCTCGCCAAACGTTAATCATTGGGGGTTTAAGAACATGCCTGTAATATTACTGAAAATGTATTTGTCAATTGGAATATAAGATTTTTCTTTCTTATAGAGTGACTTGAAACGGCCAAACAAAAATGTGGAACAACCACAAATACCTGAGAAACCAACTGATGCGCTTAACTCCACATATGAATCTGTAGGAAACGTGGTAAGTTCATGCAATTATAGCACCTAAAATACTAGTAAATACTTTGACAAAATGTATGTGTATAAAGATGAAGGTCTGTAAAAAAGTCACATGTCTCTCATATTTTCTTTTCAGACATCTGTGAAAAAGAGAATCGGTATCGGAAGGAAAATCAAGGCATTCCTTGGTATCAGATGAAAAGATTAATTGCCAAGCTGTATAAACTCCTAATAAAGACTCTTACGACGTATAAATGAAGAATTCTTGTGTTAATTTAAGTTAATCAATCAATAATAAAAGATCTATCTTGTATTTATATATGAATTTTGTGTGTGTGTTTTTTCGTTTTTAAATCCCATTATATACAACATTTAAACATGAGTTTTAAGTGACAAAGAATACGTCAAGGGGCAGATCTTTTGTCACAAACTTTGGAAATTTACGTACTGTTTATTAACAGAAGAAATATACGCAGATAACTTTAAGTTATACAAATTAAGAATCATATATCATTTCATCTATGAAACAATCGCAATTAATGTTTTTTCATATGATTATTTATTATTTATAAAACATACACTATAAAAATATATAAAAGATACAACGTTTTTATCAATTTACAATGTAAGGTAATGCCAGATGTTTTCAAGTACTCTGAAAAAATATAGGGTTTTGAGTTATAATTTATCAACGTCTTCAAATCCAAGCCTTTGGTTTACCACTTTGAGATTCCATGAATAAATTTTTTTTTCAATGTGATGTCATAAACACAGAATGAAAACAACTTCCATTTCTTGATAATAATAATGACATATACACATAGAGGGATAAACTATTTATACAGAAGATAAACTTTTTATACAGAAATAAGAGTTTCCAGTTTTAAGTGTCGGGTTTGGGACTTATCCGAATATTGGTCCACACGTCTCGATGTCCCGGATGATGTTTGTGTATTCCTTCCATGTGTGGGGGTCAGACATGCACATGGTACTTCCACCACGATGAAACTGTGTATGCTTATTAAAAAAAATTATTAATTTAAAAAAAGGTTTCCGATGGTGCAAAACATGAAGCAATATATTTCCTGTCATAATTGCATCAAACTCCCTATAAAAGTAGGAAAGTATTCACTTGAATTTAGAACAAATACATACACCCTGGACAGTAAAATAATTGACTAAATGCAGAAAAACGTATTTCAAAAATCGTCAACTACTACAAGGTCTCCAATCACGACAGAATAACATACTGAGGGAGAGAACTCTTCTTTTTCAAATTATCTCAAGTGATCTCTAACTGAAAAATTTAACTTTTTGATATTAATATAATTTAACTTTTGAAAAAGGATCACTTAAATTGATAAGAAATCTTAATTACACCTGAAAAGAATAATGAGCTAATGAAATTCAGTTTTCTTTATGGAAGATTGGAAAAGTTTTCTCATGTACGAGTACTTTTTAAAAAAAAAAATTTGATCAAGCTATAGTTTCATTATTTACCTGTCTATTTATGTCTCCAATACAAATCCATGAACCCGTCTATTAATTAGTGATCCTGTCTCTTCAAAATTCCGTATAGTTATTATTGATTTTTTTATTATTTTCCTACAAAGTAATTATTTACGTCTTTTTCAATGTAAAACTGTCATTTATGTATATGTATCTAATGACGAAACAAAAATGTAGTAAAGGGTGTCTATTACATAGCATTTAAAAATCGGAAAAGGAAAAGTGTGCACAGCAAAGTATAAAATTAATATAGTAATATTGTTAGTATTGTTTATACGTGATATACAACGTAAAAACCAAAAGGTGCATTCTATATAATATACTAACAGACAATCATTGTTAAAGGGAAAATTTAAAAAAAAAGGAAAACGTTTTTACATACAGTAAGAGTTCGCTATATCGAACACGGATATCTCGAATATCATTGATATTTATAAACCTTGAAAACAAGAAAACACACGTTTCTTTGAACATGTATGAAAATAATGTGTGTTTTAATCGAGTTTGAGACAAAAATGTTTGACTGTGCTTCAAGTGTCATATAAAAAATCAGTAAAGAAAAGCATGCAAATCAAATTTGAAATTAATATCGAATTTATGTGATAATAGTGATGACGCAACTGTTTCGGTACATACATTGCAAAGAAGTTATAACGTTGCATGCAATTGAACAAAGGCCCGCGGCCATTTTGCCAAGTTTCTACGAATAAGTCGTGATTTATCCTCTCATTGATCCAAGCATCATACAGATCTGAAATGTTTACATTTATTGTATCACAAAAAAGCACCGTTTTCGATATTAATTTCTAGTAAAAATTTATGATGGCCATCCAATAATTTTATATTAAATATGTGTTAATCAAATAACTTTTCAAACATTGAAAGATGTTGAGAAAAGTTTAGATACTACACATTAGAATAAATGTCAAAGCAATCTGAAAAAATTTAGGCCATTCCTACTGCCATATTAGGTAAGTTTAGTAATTTCTTTGACGAGTAAAAAAATCCAGCCAAATTCTGTGCTGATTTTTTTGAACATATATATAAATATTTTTTTTATATTTATATTAAATACGATAGGACAATACCCCTTTCACCCTCCCTTTTACCGATCCCATACATTTGAACTCGATAGACTGAGCAGAGAAAAAGATAGCGAAAAATTAATTAGTAAGCAGTCGAATAAAAAGCACAAAGTCTTCCACGATTACAGTTCATGGAATCTAGACAATTAAATTGTTTAAAATATCAGCATCTAATAAATATATAACAAAATATAATATACATTCCAAAAGCCATACCATGCAAGCTATGCAAGCAAGTTCTATGAAAGCAAAAATATTTTTAAGGATTAAATATGTATCGACATCCAAACAACATGAGTTTAGAAGATGAAGATTGCTAAAAGTGAATATTAGAGTAACTAGACATGCAAAACGGGCTTTGTTAGTATAGAATCATCTACTTCGTATGTTGCAGATACCTGAAATTTGAGAGAACAATTTGAAATTAATTCTAGGTCCATTTTGCCATGTTTCGACAAATAATGATTCTTGTAAAACTGGAGCCAAATAATCATCGTATAAATCTGAAAATAGTGTTTCTCATATCTACAAATGCCACACTTAAAATATGAAAGTAAAGAAAAAGGGTGTTAAGAAAGGTTTTCTGTATAAAATACATTTAAAAAAAAAAAAAAACAGACAATAATTTCTTCCAATTTTGTGAAAACTTATTAATATGTGATCTTAAGGAATACACAGTTTGTGTTAATGACAAAATTATTTAGTGATGAAAAAATTTGTTGTGGTAGAGAGAAGTCATCACCACAATGACAGATCAAATGTTTTCATCAATTTTTGCAAAAAAGTAAACTGCATGTGTTGTGTAAGTTCTGACCAATTTTAATAGGTTTGTTTAACCACATACATGTACCTAACATTCATTTTATAAGGTCTTAAAGCTTTCTTTTGTTTTCATAAGTTTTGTAAATTTGAACTGGATCCATGTTTTCTCAGAAATAACTTGGTTTTTTTTTTCACAAATAATGTGTAAGACTTCAAAGTAACACAACTTTTCAAAATTTTAAAAATGCACGGTAAATAAAATATACAGGAAGTCTATGCCTAGCTTCCTGATCCCATTGCCAATGTATCTGAACTGAATGTTATTTTTTAATAAAAATGCCACAAATTAATATACCGTATAATCCCTATGGTGAAACGGTAATTCAATATGTTAAATAGTAAAGTTTAGAATTGTAAATATCGCTTTTTTATTGAATATGACCATGCAGATTTCCTTTAAAAAAAGTCGTTTTAAATCTAAGCAGAACACAACATATATATGCACTCAAAAGTAAAAACTCATGCAAGCGAACTATATGAAAGCGAAAACTATAATAGGGATTAAAAAATCTTAACATCCAAAATACATTATTAAAGATGAGTTTAGAGGAAGAAAACTACTAAAAATTAATATATGAGTAGCTAGACATGCAACAAAGGGTTTGCTAGTGTAAAGTTAGTACTAGAATAAAGTGTCTTCTACTTCGCATGTTGCAGATACCTGAAACTTGAGAGAACAATTTGAGGGTAAATCGTCCGATCTGGGTCCATTTTGCCAAGTTTCAACAAAAAATGTTTCTTGTAAAACGGGGGCCAAAAAAGCATCGTATAAATCTGAAAATAGCATTTCTCATATGTCTACAAGACTACAAATAAATGTCACGTCACTTCAAATACATAGGAAAGAGAATATGTTGGGGTTTTTTAAATCTGATTTTAATAAAAATGAAATTGAACAATAATTTATCTAAATTTTGTTAAAAGTAAATTTTGAAATAGGTGAAGAAGACACAATTGCTTTTAAAATCCTCTAAAGCAAAATACAAGCTTTATGAGCAACACAATTTGAAGACCAAAAAATCCTACAGTGTTATCCTAAGATTAGTACACTTTATCCATAAATTTCTTAAATCAGAGTAACTATATTCATTAAACCCTTTACTGAAGCTGATTTTTCTCCTTCACTTCATTTTTGAAGTGTTAATTTTTGTCATTTTTGGGAGTTAAAATATATCTTTAACAAATGCCATAAATATAGTGATTCAATATTGACAAGAACTATGATATTAACTGCACTTTACCGAATACAAGTCAATAATTATAAAACAATTTTACAGTCCGACTACCTTTTTCAAAATCAGTTGACTTGGCAAAGTTATGTAGCACCACACCGTCTGTGGTATGGAGTGTGGTTTCCAGCTGAAATGGAGGGGATGTCACATGTTTCTGACTCCCTGACAGAACACTCATTGTGATGGGGTTCTCCGAGGAGAAAGACGGAGGTAAATAATGGTCGTAAAACTTGGGGTAGGTGAAGGTCATTATCTTGGCTGGAAAAAAAGGTAAAACTACCGGTATAATAAGTAATTCATCACAATTATCACTGAACTTCTATTACTTCTATTCAATGAGAATGAATAAATTTAATCTCAGGAATGATGTATTCAATTTCTTATTTTAAATCTGTTTTAGAGAAACTCAAAGTGTCATTTCAATTTTAACTAAGCAGTACTATTCTATGTTGTGAATTCTTCAACAAGGTACTGATAAAAAAGTATAATTTAAATTAATTATCAAGAACACCATATTTCATTATTCAGATATCTTCATAAAAAATCCCAAAACAAACAAAAACAAGAGAATGAAAACATGATATTTATAGAATAATTTCTTTTTACTGTAGGTCAAAGTGAAAAAAAAAACAAAACTTACCAACACTCTCAATAGCTGAATATTGAAGACTGACACAGAATATTGACTGTCCGTACACCTTGCCACTATCAGGGTAGGAGAAGCCAGAACTTCTAGGGGGAGGGAAATGAGGGATACTCATAATCAACCAGAACCCCTCAGATTTATCAAAAGCATAGACCCCTGAAAGAAAATAATAAACATGAATAGATAATAATGATGAAGGTCAAGGTAGAAAATTTAAAATTAGTAATTTGAATAAGGGAGACAACCTAAAAATCTTACCTTTCGTGTGGCCATGGTTTAAAGATGTATGTCCTGTCGGGGGCTGATCATTGTACATAGCATACATGTATTCATTTGTAGTCTGTCAAATACAAAAGATTGACTTTTATTGTAAATAAAATTAATTAAAACTTTGCATAAAATTAAAATTGCAGTTGTTAAATTAACTGCTGCATTCAATGGACACAATTTTAAAATCAGAGCAAGTGTTAATACTTCTTTCACTTTCAAATCTAATGGGACTTGGTAAAATTTAGAGATATCCAAGGATTCAAAAAATCAAGATACATGTACTAAGAGAGTAAATGGCTGGGACTCTCATATCACTTTGAAACATCCAAGATATCAGTATTTGAGATACCAACATTCAGCTGTGAATGATTAAGGTTTTTTTTTCTAAATTGACACTCTTAAAACTCTTTCCTACAAACATCCAAATTACCCATGATACCAATATATTAAACTTGCATTCTTGTAGATCTGTCTTAGTGTATACTCCACAGAGTGTCCTGTTGCGTTGAATGGGATAGATGACAACTTCCAACTTGGAGAATTGGAATCCATGTAGTAGAAACCAACGCCATCATAAGACCATTTGTCTATTCCCACATCATGGATTTCTGGAAGCTTGTACACAGTGAACCTACAAGAATTATACAGTCACCTACTCAGTGGAAAGAATCAAAATATATAGTGTGCCCAAACTTGTACCATAAAGTATGTAACTTAAAACTAGGAAGAGTGAATTGAAAGGAAATAATTTAGAATATTAAGCCATCGTAATCAAAGATTTTCGCTCTGTTCTGTATGTCTGCAAAGATTCTAACCCTGCCCATAACTTTTGATTAGTTGGAACTATGGCTTTCATATTTCACAGTAATTCTTGACCTTGGAGTTTGACCTACTTTTGGAAAAATTTACCAGAGTATATCCTTGGTCACAACTTTTGAATGGTTGGTTCTAGGACTTTCATACTTCATACATGTATTGTATTCCATGTGATGGGGCCTTTCCTTGGGCAAAAAATTTTGACGTTTAATTTGGAGTTTGCTTTACCTTTGTAAATCTTAACTTTGGCCATATTAGTACAATTTCCACTTAAGCTTGGACTTTCGGTAAGGTGTGGCATTCTCAATGTTACATAATTAGCTTTTGAAATACACAGCTTTCCTTCACTGTTGAAACATACATAGGATAGAAATTCGCCAAATTTTAACTAGTGTAGCAAATAGCCAATTACAAGTTCTCGCACGGCACAGAGGCGGGGCTTACGGTAAGTTGTCTCATCGATATCAACAACAATTTAAAGTTCCTGATGTTATTAATTCCTTAAACAATGAAAATCTATTTGCCATTTGACAGACGCTAATTACGTTACGCCGAGAACGCCTTACTGAAAGTCCAAGCTTACCTGAGAATTGTACTAAAGTTCTGAATGGTTGGAACAAGGGCTTTCCAAAAATTCTTGTGTATTTCATGTGACAAGATCTTTCCTTAGGTACCAACAAATTTACCCTTTAACCTTGGAGTTTTATCCATTTTTAACATAGTTTAACCTCTGTTATAATTTTTTGGAGTGTTTACCTTGCTTTCATACTTCAACATGTTCACAGGTGAATTTTAATGAGACCTTTCCTTGAGTACCAACAATTGTGACCCTTTGTCCTTCACCTTGCATTATGACTTTCTTTAAAACAAAACTTGGCCAAAAATTTTAAATGGTTGGTGCCAGGGTTTTCATATTTTAAATGTGTATGTATATTCCTTGTGACAAGTCCATTCTTTGGATACCAAAATTTTATCTCTTTATCTTACTTTGGAGTTTGACCTGCATTTGAGAAACTTTAACGTCCATCATGAGCTGCCATATGGATTTAGCACTGTTTTACAAACACATCTTGTTTTCTTTTCAGAAAAGATTTTGTTCTGTTCTTGTTTTTGTTTGCGAAGATTCTGGAGGTTTGAAATGCATATTTCATAGAAATTTTCAGAAAAAGACTAATCTGACTTTAAAAAAAAAACCATCTCAGTTAAATGATAGTTGTTTCAATCCTTAGGGAATAGAAAATCTATGATAGATATAAATTATAATTCCATATGAGTCTACCATAGATATAAATTATTATTCAGTATTAGGTAACACAAGAGAATTACGCTGTTACATTTACAATATGTAGAACTTAGATTAGCCTTATCTCTTGTGTGACGAGGGCATTATATGTCCAAGGTTTCAAACTTTGTCACCTTACGACTTCCCATTTTATGTACAAAAATAAATTATCTTATGACTAAAGTAAATTTCCTGTTTGGTTTCACAAACCTTTCAAATCTGAGTGGGTGCTTCAAAATATTGTTACTCAGTGAACTAAATTTGCTCATGACAGAACAGATTTCAGACTGTCAATTCACTGCACACATTAGGTAATAGTCATGTGCAGATTATAAGGTTGATATCATAAATTGCATGGAGACAACTACATGTATATGTAGGTTAATGTGTTGAATGAATGTCATCTAGTTTATTAAATTGTTTGGCTGTTAGTAAAATCAGCCAGGGATTAAAGTCTGAAAAACAGTCAAAAGTTTAAAATATTATTTCTCTCTCTTTATGAACCTGTACAATGAATGATATACAAAATTAGCATGTAATCACAACTAAAACATCATTTTGAATATAATTGATAATTTTTTGGACGGCTTACATTAAAACATGGTTAAGTATATAAGTATGAACACCTAATTTTTCCAAAAGAAAAATTTCCATGGCAATTTATGAAGCACTGAAATTATCTGAACATTGATTTGTGTATCTGGATTCCTAAACAATATAATGTTATCAAACCTTCTACATGTTTTTTATTTACTTCATGAAAATTAAATTTAAAAAAAAATCCCTTAAAACTTTTTTTTATGAAACCTTCGTTACATGTAAAATCTCAGAAATGTTCCGGAAGGGTTTACATTCTCAAACTTAAGTAATTTGTCAAGTGTCAAGTCGTCTTTTTTGTTTCCTGGATTGGTTTTCAGTGAAGTCAGAAGTTTTTTGTTTTTTTTTAAATAAAGCGTTTTTCTCACGATTAATAATCAAAATACATTGAAAAGGTTACGGATTTCCTTACCAATCGACAGGTTGTCCAGTGTGTGACTTACACTTAAGACTCCCACAGACATTGACAAAAACTACCAGCACACAAACGATCACATCTCGCACCATTTCAGTTGTTTATCTCGACTGATTTTGCACTCCTTGTCTACTTTCATTTTCGCAATGAAGACCCAGTGGCACGGATCTAAAAATCTTCAATTTTTATCTTGAATGAAAAGTATTTTATATACTAAGAAACCTTTTATGTCTGTGATGTTGTAATTTATTGTTTATGTTTGTGTTACGATTTGCTTACATTTGGACATGTTGAAACGGATCCAAAAACTGAGGAAGAAAAAAAAGGCCTATGAAAAGGGGGGGGGGGGTAAATTGAAAAAAAAATGGAAGTGAACATTAGGATGTTGGAGAATTAACATTAGGATGTTGGAGAATTTAGAATTAATTTTTGCATTGTAATTAGCTGAATATGTAGGCTTTCACAGTTGTCAAAGACACAGAATCTTCCCAAGCACTAATCATTAGGCCTATATGAATTTATTTGCGATCGACCTAAAGATCCAAATGTCTGCATAATAATGATAATATAGAGTGAAATCGCCGATTCTGGGTCACGTCAGGGTGTTTCCTTGATATTTCGCATAGTCGTCAGATTCATATTTTATGCAATATGTACTGAAAGTACAAATAGTGAGTCATCCAAAAGTCTTTTTTTTATTTTCAAAGAAACTATATATGGGAACAATATTTACAGGCGTATTTCAGCAAGGCCTAGCTTCCCCAGTTACGGATCACTTTCTCCATTTCCGGGTAATGTGCCTCCGTGGTCTTGTAATATGCACGGATCGTTTCAGAACAAGATTTTTATGATGTTGAAGCATAAAAGAATTCATGCAGCTCGCAAAAACGGAAACAATCACAGAAATGAGTTTTAATCTATTTTTAAAAACAATTTTTAAAAAAATGCAATATGCAGAATTTACAAACATGATATTAGGATTAAAATAAGAACTATTGGACTTATTTAAAAAAAAGTATTTTTAAAAAGTATTTGAAAGGTAAACTCAAATTCATTTTTAAAAAATTATTCTTAAATTGGTTTAACAGTGTAATTTTATTTGAGCAGTGATCATTATGATTGATTTCTGAATTAAAACTAAATACATGTGATATACTTTTGAGCTATTATTGTTTACCTAGTACTTTTATATCAGCCTTGTTTGCAGCGAACAAAAACAAAGGCAGTCTATCAACGAAACAGATTCGATCATCCGTGTCTTCTGTCCATTCTGTCATATTTTATTTTTCAAATAAAATCTGCAACATAATGCGCGCGTTTCATATTGTCGTTCGTGGGATACTCCTTTTAAGTTGATGACCAGTGTATTTATTAAGTTTTTACGCTTTAAATTTCACAATATGACATGAAATACACACGAGTGACCAGGAATCAGCGACCCCACTGCATCAGGCTGATGATTTCAATGTAAATGCAAAATTATATGGGTACGGAGGTTCCAAGTTTAAGTACAAATTTTTTTTTATCCAAACCCTACCTTAACCTCGTTTGACTTTGATGCATCAAAAAGTCGTGGGGAGGGGCGGGCTTTAATGATCATTTTCTGTAGTAAAATGTTATGTCCGTAACCCCTAACCCCCCAGCCCATTATACATGCCTTGTCAATATCAAAAGAAACATATACAATGTATAACTTTCGAGGTTTACAGTTTTGAAAACGAAAAGTATGCTATTTTCAAGTTCAAGTCTGAACTTTTGCATACACTTTACATTTTCATATTTGATTCATAAAAAACGCTTCATATATACATTTAATTTCCGAAGCCATCGATCTTCACTTACAAACTGACTACATCCAATTCTTTTATACATGCTGAAGAGATAATGTATAGTAAAAAAGCCTACAGTATAAATTCATTCTGGGTATTGCATTGACATTGAATGAATGATGATTTATAATATCACGCATCCCTTTGATTTATGTCTTATTTTTAAATGTACGAAAATATTTAATTTTAATTTGCAGCCAAAATGACACACGATTTTTTTCTCTTTTTTTTTCAGTGGTACAGGTAACTGTATAGTTTCAAATGCAAACCATCCACGGTCACAGATTCAAGTAAATTATAAAAGTTTATAAGAGATATACTATAAAAAGTTTTCATTACCAGATTGGTTTTTCAAACTGCATTTGTTTCTTCTTCTTTTTACAGGAATTGACACAATAATACTACTTACTCGCTTATTATTAAGCCACCACGAAACATTTTGTATATATTTTGTATGTAAGGAATGTACCTCCATCCCGGCTTTTGGGTTATTTAGAGTTAGAAATTTGATGTATTATCAAGACAGGGAATCGGATGCCTGGTCTATGAATCGTACCGGAAACAGCATCTTTTTACGATATTTATTTCCAACAATACATTCTTAAGGAATTTGTACGCTACATGTACTTATTTTCGTCAATTCACTCATAAAAAATTAACAAACATTGATATTAAATATACACATGTTACAAATGCTGTATATTCTTAATACATGTATTGCTATTTTCATTGTGTTTGCGAAAAATTTAAAAAATTGTTTACAGAATTTTATTTGGTGTGCAAGTATTCGCAATCAATTCTAAAGAGTATTATCTGAGGAAAAATATCATGCGAAATAAAACATTCGAATAAGAATTTAACCGTGGAAATTAAATGTTGACAAATATATGTATTATGAAAACAAAAACTGTCGAACTCGAACCATGCAGATAATTCATGTATTCATATTGTGTACTTTCCTCGTTTTGCCAAAATTTTATGGTAATGAATTTTTTATCGGGTATTCAAAAAACTATACTTATTAGTAAATTCATCCTTTGTTTTTATTCTATTTATATATAAAACAAATCACATAGCTTATCGTTTTAATAAAGCGGTAAATATTTGCAAATTTGCTTTCCCTTTCTATTAATTAATATATCAAGTGATGAATCAAACACAGTTCGACATTCCAGACGTAGCAGACGAGATCATGCATGTATGTTACGTCACATTCCGTCTGTTTCTTTGATTAGGCGTCACGTGACGAGAGCGGATGCTGTCGCCTCCCATACTGTGACAGAATGGGAATGTTTATTTATTCTTTACATATGTACTTCCTTCTATACATTCGATACCCACATGTTTATTTTGCTATTTGACACGGGAAGCGCTGGTATCGACATGACGCACTGACCTAATCTGTTCAGTAATCACATTATTGACCCGTTTACCCCATCCTGTGACCATGGACAAAGAAGGCAAACATGTTTATTTATTTCACATACAGAACACATGGTGAATATCACTGATAAATTATATCGAGAGGTGGAATTCAAAAATTCCATATTAGTTGACTCCATTTTAATCATCTCTAAGATAACTCTTGCTGAAAATCATTTTTTTTTTCATTTCAGTGGACATGCACATGTCGAAGAATAAAAAAAATAGCCTCAACTAAAATAGAGTACAAATAAAGCTGTTACATTTAATTTATTCAATCAAACAATACAAAATGATGATATTCAGTTTTATCTTTAGTCATGACTTATACACCGCCGCTGCAACGATGTTTTCAGCATGACTCAGTCGATTTGTTTTCAAAAATAAAATATGATGGTGAAACGGCAATTAGAAACGACAACCATCTCACAAGATAAAGTGTGTGCGTACAAATCGCCACTCCAAGATTTCCAGACCAATATATCGAGCCTGGACGCAATTGAAGCACTAGGCAGTAAACGCATTAACCTATATATCGTATTCTGGATATTGTTGTTTATTGTCCAAAATGCTCACAAACAAACTGAAGAAGAAATATAAATATAATGCCAAACTTTCCTGCTAAACTGAAAGAAAATAAAATCTTGCTGTCAAATAAATTAAGAAAAGGTATATTATTTTAGATACTAGTATATTGATTAAGTTGCACGTAGAAAAGTACACAATGTGTACATCCAAACCAAAAAAATTATTCTAATGATATGATTATAATAACTTTCTTCCTGTACTTAAAGATTTGAAGAACATAGGTGTTAAGTGGATTGTCTTTAATACAATATTCAAATCATGATATCTTCTGGAAAAACGATCATTGAAATTTAACTAAGAAAGCAGACATGAAGGTTTTATTGCTATATTACATTAAATTGTTCAGCAAATGTTATTTCTTCAAAATGTCTTTTTTTTATTGAAGAGCTATGCTTTTGGCAATTAAAGGCGCCTGCATTTATAATTTCATTTAAATATGGGACATTTTTGTCAGATAAATATTAAACACGAAAATTTCTCTACGCTCTTACCATTTTTAGTCATATATGAAGAAACTGATTTTTTGTACATTAAAACAGGTTTTATTTATTTCCTCATCAAAAAATCATAAGATATTCAAAGTCGGAATCTTTATTTACTATTTTCATCCACATACCATCTAACAGAACTTAAAACGTCCAAGATACACATGTTAAATCGAACAAAACATTCTAAAATTTTGATCACCAGTGCGCCGCCATTTTGATATTCCTAGGCAACACTAAACCAATCAACGGGTTCAGCATCACCTAATCTGGAGACGCCCTACGATCGTGTATCTTCGACTAACTCCGGCACGTCTTCGTGAACCCACGCTGCGCCCGATTCCTAATACGTTTAGAGCGATTCCCATATATGGCATCTTTCTTAGTCAAACTGAGAATGATTCTAGGAAACTGCGGTCGAAAAGAATAAAAGAGCGTGGCGCGATAGTGAGTTCACCAGTTTGTTGTAGAACGGTGCAAACTTCACAAGGGTGTAGGACCCCATACCAATAGTTTTATACTTTACGTAGTACTTACTTATCAATCAATATGTGTGACGACGAAGTTGCAGCTTTGGTTGTGGACAATGGATCCGGAATGTGCAAGGCCGGTTTCGCCGGAGACGATGCCCCCAGGGCCGTATTCCCTTCCATTGTAGGAAGACCCAGACATCAGGTATATAGGAATTTTGAATTTGAATTTTTCCGATATCGCGCTAATTTAAATCATCATTGAATTGTATTGGTCACTAATACTTATTTGAACTAAAACGCAATCTTTCTGAAAATTAAACAAAGAACAATGGTTTTGCGGCAT